CACCAACCTGCACCACGTGCACAGCCAGCTCACAGCACCCGGCGCCCGGCACCGGCACCCGGCACCAGCTACCTGTCTCGAAAGCACGCACGGGCAACTCATTGCTATTTGAAATAAGAACCCCATAGCTTCGCTAGGGGAATAAGTCTGATTCTTTAACACTCTATTTTAGTTCTCTTTTTCTTTAAGGGGGGTAGGCCACTAGAAGAGGTAGCTACTAGTAGCTACTAGCTACTGGACGCAGGACAGCTGATTTGGTTCCTAGATTCTTAGAGAAACTTAACTTGGCAAATGAAACTGAGAGCATCATGGGACGCCCCTGCGTTGTATGCCATCTAGATGAAACCATGGAGCTCTACCACGGAGCTCTTCTCAACGTCAGTGGTCGCTGACGCATTTGCTGGCTCTTCTGCAAACTCTTTTTCAAGCGCGATGGCTGGGTGGTTTCTCAGACTCAGCGCTTCAGCGTTTTGCAATAAGAACTAATTCGAACAAGCACCTGACTTGCTTTCCTAGCACGCCCTGATTGAAAAAAACTGCAAGGTTGAGAAAATCCAGGGGTGCAAAGCAAAAGCGATGCTGAAAGAGTAACAGATAGGTGCTGCCAAACTGCTGCACTTCTGAAGGAAATCTATATGGGCTCTTGCCTGCAACCTGATCGCCGACAACCGAAGTATTGAAACACAAAAAAAAATTGGATAAGCAGTAAAGTCAGTCTTGCCGATGATTTACTATCTTGCTCCCCTCTCTCGGAGTGTCCATCAAATGCTCACCATCAGTGAAGCGCATCTTCTCGCTTTGCTCGCTTTGCGCTTTGTGTCTGAGAAGCTCATGAGGACACATTTCGAAGAAGCTCGAATCTCCTGACCACATGTGCCGCATGGATCATCGAACGTAGAAGAGTCCTGAACCTCCTCACCCTCATCACCCTCTGCTGTGCTTGCTTCGCTGTGCCCTCGAAGGAGCTCCATAAACTTCTGAAAGCTATGTGGTTTGACACTGACTTCCCTCAAAAATTGTGCCAAGTGAAGCTCGTGTACCCTTGAAGAGCCGGAGGTCGTTTGGCTTTTGGTCAAGGAGAGCCATGTTGCTTCCTCAGCCATCCCTTCCAAATCACTGGCGGGGGCAACTTGGTCCGAAAAACTGCGATATATTTTTTTAAGATTCAATTCATTAAGAATTCAATTCCTAATAGCGATGGCCTCCAACCTAGTAGCAATGGCCTCCAACCTAGTAGCAATGGCCTCGTAATAGCGATGGTCTCCAACCAAGTAACGTTGGCCTCCAAACCTGTTCACACAATGCTTGCAATCCAAAAACTCAGTGTGAAAGTTGAATGTTTGCTTTTTGCTTCCCTCTCAGCATATCATTTGCTCAATCTACGGATCTCTCATCCAGCGAACCAAAAGAATACAAGTAGAGCTTCGCAATGTGATGGTCCTTCCAGTCGTTGAAGGCACAATCAACTGGACATTCACTTCCAGGGTCACAGTATTCTTCTTCCTGCAAGGATGGCCGGAATGAACATGGTTCCGTCACCATCGAAGCTGGGCCACTAGGTCGGCTGCTAGGCCCTTACAGATGCGCAAAGAGGTAACTTTGCCCTTTAGCCTTCTGAGATTCTCGCAACTTTACTATTTAGGCCTGTTTGTCCTCCAACCTCCTCACACACCTTCACTGCGTAGCACTGTGGAAAGAACGTTCTGCGGAAACATTCCGAAACAAAGTCCGAAACACCGACAGGAACCCATCGCTATTAGGTTGGAGGCCATTGCTTCTAGGTTGATGGAGCTTGCTTTTTCCACCTCCATGATTCGGATTTTAGCGGGCCAATCCATCACCTCGTCATCCGGTTCTCGCGTACTCCGCACCTTGGGCTTGCCGGTGCACTCCGCACCGTGGGGCCCCACGGCCTCCTTTGCCACAAGGCGGAACCTGGCAACGAAAAAAACGCGGCGAAGAGAAGAAAGAGAAAAGGAACCCAATGAACCCAAGGAGTAATAATGTATTAATGTATTGGACTTATTCTTGTCAGTTCTTTTCTTTCCTCCCTCTTTCTACTCCTCTTTCTTTAGACCGACCCGGCTTTCCTTGATTGCTATGAAACGACTGTAGCTCGAGGAAACATCGGTTGTCGCGGCGTTGTCTCCTCAAGCAGCGTTGGAAGCATCAACAGGGCTATCCCCAAGGTATGCCGAGAGCAACCACTTGGGGCAGGAGGCTGGACTTTCTTTTCGGCAACAAATCCTCAGCTCCTACGAGCCGATGACAACTTGAATTGGCATCTTGGGTATCTGACGCCAAAAACTACAAGTAGTTCCTCTCCAAGGCTACATGAAACGTGACATCGGATTGGAATGATGAGTGGGACTTCCATGGAGTACCCATCACAGCTGGAAGCAGTCTTGTTACTAGCGCTCCTTGTTGATAGTTGAGTCGGGGACCTAAGACTTGAAGTTTTCTCTGTGGTAAACGAAAGCCAGGAGGAACACGCAGGTGACGGAGACGCGTTGGTTAGGAAAGGTTGGGAGGCTTCTTTGGAGGCACTCCGCACTATACACATGGAACCGGTTTTCTGCGGAAATAGATGCAGACCAACAGTAGCCACGACAACAAAAGCTGGTCAATGCCCATCGAAAAGCGGCAAGGTCAGCCAGCCTCCCCGACCAAGACCTCCCAGACGGTGAAAGGTACATTTTCTGTGCGTTAGATCTAGGGCCTATGTTGGCCCATCTTGGGCCCATCTTGAGCTATCTTGGGCCTATGTTGACCTATCTTGGGCCCACGTTGAGCAGATATATTTATATGCACAGAACATGCCTTGTACCAGACGCTTGTGAAGACTAGCCCTATGATTCCCCAAGACCCCTGTTTTCAGTTTCAATACCTTGCGTTGACTTTGCAACATGGAAGAAATATGTATATATATATACTTATGTATAACGTGCCTGGTAGTAGCCAATTTGAACCGACTATCTTTGGGTCGGATCACCTAAGCGATTTGGGCGCCCACTCCCAATTGCATCATCTACTAGAGGGTCTTCTCCACTTGGAGCGGTTCATACGTTCCACGACCTACCCGCACCCGGGTCACAAGAATATAAGTTATCAAGGCGGCAAACGGGGCCGCGAAAGTGAACAATTTTTCTTGCATCGCGCTATGCTCTTGCGTTCTGGTGTTGTGGCCGTTCGTCACCCCGGTAACCCGTATTTTTGTTGCTATTACTGGCGCGGGGCTCTTGGCCGATGGCAAGGGACAGCGGCCCAAATCCGGGCGCCGGCCAGGCGAGCCGTGTCCTAGCTGGAGGCCTTCGGTTGCTTACCGAAGGTAACTAACGGGGGCGCCCCCTGCTGAGTAGGAGCAAGTGAGCTATATCAGACAGTGACTCTCAGAAAGGGGCCCGTGGGAATTGCCCCTGACAACAACAAGCATGGAAAAGATGCAAAACAATAGGATTCGCAACAGAGAAACCACACAAGCAATTACGAAAGCCAGCTGATAGACTAGGCTGAAGTTAGTCATGCAAACGAAGCTCGTTATTAGCATGTTGCGCCATTTATGTTGACACGGGCCCATCACCCCAAAAAATCCGATTATGCGCGCCCGCGCAGCGCGCATTACCGACACCACCCGTGTAAAACCCACAGTTTTTGCATTTCTCCATCATCGAAACTTTGCACCTTCCACGCGCACAAAACCCTGTAAAACACAGTGTTTTGTGAACTGCACACGCAGAACACACCGTAAATTACAAGGGGGGGGTCGACCGGGCGTCGACCGGACGTCGACCAGGGATGGGGCAGAAAAGGTCGGCGTTCGTCTCAACAGTCTTGCAACATGCAATAGGGGGCAGTGCACGATAGGGGGCAGTGCACGATCCCTGAACTGAATTCCTTTGATGTCTTGTTGGACTTCAGCATTGTCACTTTGACCATGGGCCACTTTCTGGGTCTGCAATACTAACAGCTAGATACCTAATACAAGATCTTGTGTATTGTCTTCCTTCTGCCGCACCCCGCCTCACTCGGCTCCCTTCACCACAGCTGGCGGAACAAACCGTCCAATCGTTCCAGTCCTAGCGGGTGAAATCGGCTGGTAGGGTCTGGACCTTTCTCCTCCGTATTTCCCTTTGGAAGGCCCCTGGTGCCAGTCGCAAACTCATGCAGTCACGCCTTTTGAGGAACCCAAGCGTGAAAGCAGTTCATGGGTGTCGGTCATCGATCCATCGAGGTCACCAGGACTGGCTGATGCGACAGCCGGGGTCCTCCCATGTGCAGTTCGTAGAGCAATTGCCCGGCTGTGTGCATTGAGAGACCTCCGTGGAGTTTTCGCATTCCTCACACCGCACGGGCCAAAGACACTCCGGACTAAAAGTCCTACAATTCAAAGATGCAAATTCTCTTTGAAGGAAGGCAGGAAGGAGGAAAAAAGGTCTGAAGCCCAGACAAAGCAAGAAAAGAAGGGAACCTTTAAAACTACTTTACTTCGAGTGGTCCCCGCAATTATTGGCAGACTAGCCTGACAAAGGCGGCCCGACATGTGGATTGACACAATGTTTTGCTGCTTGTTCTGGCATCAAGTCTGATTTGTGCTCTGACACATCATCTGTCATAGAGGCTGGGACAATGTTCTGGACTGTGTTCTGACGTCCTTGTTGACATGTGTTCTGACCGTGAGGTCTGACATGTCCTGTGACATAGCCCTGATATGTGTTCTGACATGTATTCCGACATTTGTTCTGCCACCAGGGAAAACGCCTATCTGGCATATGTTCTGACTCTCTATCTGGCAAAAACTTTGGCATCCTCTCTGGCATAAAATTGGCACTCTATGGTATACATTATGGCAGTTGCATTCTATCTGCTGAGGGCCGTCCACTGCGATCTAGCGCTCACAGTTGAGGTTCGACGCGGCAGTGGCCACTGGTCTAGCACTCGTGGTTGAGGATGCGGAGGAGGAGCAGGACAGCTCTGATAGCAAGTGGGAAAAACAGAAATACATGTTCGTTTTTTGAGCCCGCCCGGACTTAGTTAAGTAGGCGCCTACTCAGCTTAAGTTAGCTACTAGCTACTGGACGCAGGATACCTCACGCTTCTTCAAGGAAGCTCCCCCGCCCTTGAGGAGCCCGGAACTCAGTGCAGTAACTTCACCCTGCAATATTTATTGATTGGAAAGCCTTTGCCACCCAAAGTGAACCAAGTCCAGACTTCATTCTCCAAGGTTTACTCCTGAGGAGCCTCTCACCAGTGAACTTAGTGGAGCCCAAACACTTCCTTCATTCTGCAATGCGGAGCCCTTCACCAACCAAAACAAATTAGCGGAGCACGCAAACTTCATTTTGCAAGCTTTCCGAAGAAGCCCTTCACCCTCCCGTAGGAAAGCAGGTCTGATCCAAAGGGTGCGGATCAACTGAGTGATCTTGATCCACACCCTTTGGATCAGGGTGTGGATCAGGTGTGGTTTTGGTGCTTGATCCATGCCTTATGCTTTTGGCCACAGCCAGGCCACAGCCAATTTAGTAGGCGCCCACTAAATGAAGTAGTAGGGAGGAGGACCAGTCGGAAGAACAAAAGGAAATTCATATAAACATCGATTTAGATCCAGGAATTGAATGTATTTACTATGCGGAACACTTCCTTCAAATACCTAAAAACATACCGTACATTCAAACTCGACGCAAATGACTAGAAACACAGGCAAGCAACTATAGAAACGACTTAGAAACACAACGCTGTTCTGCAAACCACCTGAAACGACAACCAAAAATATCATGAAGACTTCTGAACCCACAATTACCATGGACCATTCTTCCGGTTGCTGGAAACATAGAGTCTTGCTTTGGATGGTTTGGTTCCTTGGAAAAATCCCGTGTCCTTGGCAAGTTTGACACCACCGTTCGGCCTCCGCGAGAAGACTCCGAAAGCTGCTTCTGACGGCGAGAGTCTGACCGGCTGCAATCCACGCAGGGCGTTCCACAGGGCTTCCTTGGAGATAGGACCCAGGCAAGGTCTGATGTGGTTCGGACATTCGTTGTGGATGGATCTTTAAAATCCTAATTGCATTCCAATCAATTTTCTCATAGCAACGGCCTCCAACTTTATGGCAATGGTATTTGAGGTAAAGAGCCTTACTGAATCTTGCTGAGCTACAAACCTGCAGCCCTAGGACCATTCCAGATTTCTCCCCTGCTAAGCTTCTTCCCTTCATGCACTCCTGTCTTCGAATTTCCAAGCGTCTCTTCCTCCGTCTTACCGCAAGGCACGCCAGCACCGCTCTCCTGGAAGCCATTGCTACTTGTAGCTCCTAGTAGCGTCCTTGCTCCTAGTAGTACGGCCAGGAGCCTAGCGATGCCCTTTGCTCCTAGTAGCTTCTTGTCGCCATCGCTCTCCTGGGTGACGTTCCTCCGCCGCACTTGCGTGCACTTCTCGCAGGGCGTCCAGTCTGTCCACTCCGACATCACGCAGTCTACCTGAATCGACGAAGTCCGGGATCCGAAATGCCGTGGGAAGGTCGGTGAATCGCTAGTAGAAACAAGTGCATCGCTACTAGTAACAAGTGCCTTACTAGTAGTAACAAGAAGCTAGTAGGGAACAAAATAACGCTACGAACGGAGCAAAGGGCATCGCTACTAGGAGCGATCGGACGCTACTAGGGGCTCCTGGCCTTACTACTAGGAGCAAGGACGCTACTAGGAGAACGGGAGGTGCATGGCAAACGTTCTATGTCCAAGCCACCGAGCAGATCTGGCTGTTACATGCGGTCACCTCGGACGCTGTGCCGGTGCATTGCTCTCCGCCGCCAATCTCCAGCTTCCTCAGACTCCAAATGAGGGTGTAGTGAAGAGGTTTGGGGATTGGGGAACAACCACCACCACATCGAAGACCAAAAACAGTTGCCAGTGGCAAAGCACAATGGCCTTCACATGTCCACTCGTCTACAAGACATGGGACCTGGACAGCCTCATTTCGACCAGTCTGCCCAGCGTCTCATAGACACAACCGCCATTGGCTTCTTGGTCGGCCATATCCAGACAGAGCACCACAGATTCGTTACACTTGGGTGAATAAAAGCCCTTGCAGCTGGAATCCTTGCTGCACTCTGCCTCGGCTTCCTGCCTCGATTGCATGGCTTTCTGCCTCGGTTGGGACGAACAGAGAAGGCATAGACCCGTCTGCCAGTGGTGGCTAGCAGAGGTAGCTTTTGGGTGAGCAAAAGGCCTTCTACCACCCTTGGGGCTTTGTAGATTTCAGGAGCTGCCACATCACCACCTCCTCCTCCTCTAGTTTGGGGCAAATGACGGTTTCTAAGGCCTTCGGCAAACAGCCAGTCTTGGTATCCTGTTGCAAGGTATGAGAACTTCACAACACGAAGCCTCAATTTGAACACGTTGTCATGCCAAGGCTATATCGATCACGCATCTGTTCCGTGCACACTGTTGGGTGCACACCTTTCCACTGTTCACACTGATGTCCAATGTCTAGATACGGAGGTATCTTTAAGAATTTCTTACTCCTTCATAGCAAGAAGCTACTAGGAGCAACTAGGAGCAAGGACACTACTAGGGGCTCCTAGCCTTACTACTAGTAACAAGGACGCTACGTACTAGGAACAAAGGGTCTTTCTAGCTCAGTGCAGCTGGGGCGGACGTTTCAACCCCCTTTGTGTCCAGTACTTTGTGTCCAGTATTTTGCCCTCGTTTCACGCTAAAAGCTTGCTTCTGAAAGAAGGAATGGGTGTATCAAATGAAACAAATTAAGTCACAAATGCCTTCGAACAAGGCACTTGGGCTTGGCAGTGCACTGCAGATTCCTCTTGAACTGGTAGCCATAGACAATCTTCCATGGATCCTGGCTGATGACAGCCTCTTCCTACACCACTTACTACCATCGACAAAAACAACTGGAAGAATGCGACAGCCAGCTATCCCTACCGGTCAAAGGCCTCTTCTATTTGCTCTTCCTACTCTTTCCTCACTTATCCAAGACCCCGCTAGAAGGTGGAGGCCATCGCTATTAAGTAAGCTTCCCAGGAACCAGATCAGTGCGAACGCGAGCTATCCTGCGTCCAAGGTGCATCTACTAACTACCTCTCCCTACTAGCTACCTCCACTCGCGCGCGCGAACGCTTCGCTGAAGCGCCGTCACGTCGGACCCGTCAATTCCCCTGCCTTGCGGTAGCGCTGGCCCGTGCCTGGCGGCGACGGTTCGGCACAAGACTCTGAAGGGAGAAACAGCGAATCGCACTGAGAAACAGTATATAAATATAGTTAAATTCTATAGCTTCTTATTGTTTACTAGTAGTAACAAGTGCCTTACTACTAGTAACAAGAAGCTATTAGAATTAAACTAACATTAAGTTATATTAACTAATAGCTTCTTGTTGCTACTAGTAAGGCACTTGTTACTAGTAGCGATGCACTTGTTACTGAGAAACTCTTCGAATCGCCCCAAGACTTGAAGTTTTTGGAGAACGAGCAAGGACGCTACTAGGAGCTCTTGGCCTTACTACTAGGAGCATCGCTAATAGGAGCAAGAACGCTATTAGTTCGGAGGCGGTTTTTGGAGAACTTGTTTGTACCTGGCCACTTGGAGATGAAGCGCCAAAAAAGTTGAAGAAAACAGACAATAGTAGCTTTATTGTTCCTAGTAGTAAGTCCAGGAGCCCCTAGTAGCGATGCCCTTTGTTACTAGTAGCGTCCTTGTTCCTGGCAACTTGGAGATGATGCTCACCTTTTCGCTCGCAAGCCTTTTCAAAGATGTCTGTGCGTCTCCAGAGC